TCCCACCATGCAGTTTAGCCTTCTCAGACTTTTCTCTAAAATCCTTTTCTTTACTGGTTCACTATTCCCAGAATCAGAACCTCCTTAGATTTCTTGTGCAAAGTAGTCTGACTCCATGGTTTGCTGCCTCCTTCCAGCTGTTAGCACGGCCTCACTTCCACACCCTAAGTGAGTTACCATGTTATTTTCTTAACAAAAACAATTCTCACCCTGAGTAACATTAGTTCTTACTGTTAAGATAAAATTTTAAATTATTTTTAAATTATTTTTTAATTAATTTAAATTTAATTTAATAATTTAAATTATTTTTAAATTATTTTAAATTATTTTTACCCTGATATATTGTTGTACCCAATGAATTATCTTAATAATATAGTGGGTTCTGACAGCATTATTTGTTATTTGTGTTAATTCAATCTAGGTTCCCTCCTGTCCCCATTTTGTTCTTGTCTCCCTACATAGCCTGTGTTGGAACGTCTACCTCTTGCTTCAAAGCCCTGATCACTGATGTTTCTTAGACTTCCTTTGTTTACCTGAGGAATCACCATGTCATGCTCTGTGCTATATATTCACTGCCAACATTATAAAAGGTTAATTTCTCCCCGCTCCCATGCCTTTGTGAAGGACTGAAGTTCTTACAGCAGAAAGAAATTTTTCTGGCTTGTAGGTCAAACTGAAAACAGCCCTCCCTCTCCTACTCAGAAATTTAATCTTTCTTCCCCCTTTTGGGTAATACTATGGCACTTGCTGTGTAATGCCATTAAAAACTCTCCAGGCCACAGAAGCTCTGAACATTACTGTTTAATCATTTCACAACTGACGTCATTTGCATTCCAGTGGCACCAGTTAACTTTTTTTCATAATTATCAGAGGACACATGAGAAATACTCAAGTTGAGTTTGAGACAGACTTGTGTTTCAAGCTGCAAATCCTCTACCCCAAGCTGAGATGAGCAGTTAATTTAGGAAGCCTTTAAGGAAATCAACATGTTATTTATTTGCTCTGGAGGTTTTAATATGGACATTAGCCTTCGTTTACCATGAGAGAGTTTGACTAATGGTTTAGCCAAGTCTAGAAATTAGAGGAAAAAAAAGTAAAGTCAAGAGTCTCTCCAATCCCCACCCCCATCTCCAATTCCCAGGCCAAGACACACAGTTTACCCAATTATCTTCTTATAAGGAAGATGATATCTGATGAAAATATAGCTTTTAAGCAAATGCTAGGCCCAGCTTTTCTTCTTAATAATCTAGTTCATAATTGGTCATAATGATTTCCCCAAAGATTCTTGCAAGTTAACATTCAGTTTAAACAAGCAACTTCCCATAAGCCATTAAGCCAAGTCATGTGATTTTCAGACAGTACAGATTCATCTGCTGAGGATTTTTAGGTTCCTATGCAGAGAGGTTTGTCCATTCTCAGGCATCTTCCAAATTATAACTCTTTTCCAGAAATTTGGCATTCTGTAGCGGCCTGGGAGGTCTACTTTCTCGCTCTACCTTTGTTTCAGTCTCTCAATTTCTCTCACTATTACATGCAGATAATACTCCCAGGCGTTCTAACATCATTGCAGTGACTCATAACTAGCAATTCTTATTTTAAAGCACTTACCAATTAGAAGGACTTTATCCAAATTACAGCTTACTTTAGAAGAGAAAAGAAATAAGCTAGCATATGGAAAATATTGGACACAATGGCAAAATACATACCATACCACCTGTTTTGTCTAAAAATGTGTCAAATGAAGAAATGAGAATTTAAAGTGACTTTTTCCTTAAATCTAAACACACAAAAAGACTTGGCTATCTACTTGTCTATCTGTCTTTCTATTGGGGAGTAACCACCTATTAATGCTTGAAAAACCAAACAAGAAAAACCTGCTCAGAGTATGTCACAGACGTCCTGGCTCAGAGAATAAGGGAAAACTAGAAAACAGGAGAAGCCAATCCACTTTTCCTTTCCTCTTCCTCCCTCCCCAGCATGCCCACCCAGGGTGATTGGTCACAGCTGAAATATATAGGCTGCTTATGCCAAGTCTGTGGGCTCAAATAACAAGATGATGTTAATAATACTTCACATTTGTATAGCATCTTATGGTTTCCAAAATGCTTTCCCGTAGATTGTTTCATTTAGGGAGAAGTATTGCACAGATGTTTTGTGTATTTGAAACCATGAAAATTGCTAATTCTGATTAAATTGGTCTAATATTTCAGGTTCTGTTAGACTCACTTATTTTATCTTTACCTCTGGTTCACAAAGAGATTGTATTACACTGATGTAAAGTGTCCATTATTTTCCCATTATTGAAACTCTTCCTCAAATGCGATCATTGAAAGTTTGTGTTGAAAAGAACTTGGGAGAAATTGTGTTCTAACCCCTTTATTTTGTAGATGAACCACTAAGGTTTAGAGAGACTTTGTGAATTGCCCAGTGCCAGGCTTGGGCTTTTGCTCTGAAATCTGGAAGGTTTGCTATTATCCCCTAAAGGGTGCCCTCCTGGCTCTTTTGTGTATGTGGGAAAGGATCAAAATCTCAGAGATAACATTGTGACTACAAATTATACTCTAAACAGCATGGTACTTTTTGAAACTTATTTTATTCTTCTACCTATGTTTTACAAAAGATTTTTTCTGAAGGAGATTCATTCATAATTTAAAATGGGCACACCATTTTTTGTCTTGTACCAACATTTTTTTTATTCTGTTTTTGTTAAATCAAAGATTTTTAGATTCCTAATCAAATGCTGTATTCACTCCTTTCTCATTAGATTCTTATAAGATTCTTGTTAAAAATAAAAAAATCAAGGCAGATATTTTTAGCCTGATTTTAGAGTTAAGAAATCTTAGAGAAGATACATGAACTGTATAAGGTCACAAAGCTGGTTAGTGGAATTCATAACATTAGAAGCCACTTTGTCTGATTTTTAGTACAGCTTTTGAATTTTATTTTGCTTTGGGTTTTTTTTTGTTTTGTTTTGTTTTTTTTGTACAACATATTACTGCTGGTCCAAGAATAGAGTTGAGGATCATCAAATTTTACCCGAGGCATATTTTTGCCCTTTTCCCAAACAGCTTGAGAAAGTACGAGGTAATCAACATATGCAGTTACATTGGATTCAAATTGAAGTTTGTCATATGCACATTTATTTGTAAAAATGCCTGACTGCAACACAATGAGTTTCTTTTTAATATATTATTTCCTATTTCTAGCATTTCCAAAATGAGGTTGGGTATAAGATTTTTACGTAATATGAATGTATTTAATTCTAAATAGAAGATTTTACAGTTAGATATGGTATCATAGATATGGTATCCTAGGGTTAGAAAAGACTCCAACTGTAAAATGGGCAATTAGTATTTATTATGTGTTTACTATATGCCATATATTATTTTCTCAGTGTAAATAAGCACAGCAAGCCCAAGAGTTCCCTAATATTTCTTCTTTTTTATAGGTAAGGAAAATGAGGCTCAGAAAAATAAAGTAAAATGCCCAGAGTCACAGATTTACATTATTCCAAAATTCATGCTCTCTCTGCAATATTTTTTGTCTTTCTCAAAAATCACAGCTCAACTACAAAGAAACACATCTCAGTACATATAGATAGCTAATTATTTCAATCACATCTGAGAAAAAAAAATACTTGCTTTTGGCCAGATAGGCTGATAAAGACATCTCTTTATTTACATTCCTACTTATTTTATTTCAACAAAATACAAAGTATTCTAGAATACATGGCTAATATTACATAGTGGCCTTTCTCAGAATAATAGGATTAATCTGTCTCATTTTGTTTACTGAGTTATAAAAAACATCCTTTCCCTAATGGTTAATTTGTCCTTATTAATTTATACTTATAAAATAGTAAATCAATGAATATTTGTATCATATTAATCAATTGTAATTGAAGCTTGACAAAAATATTACAAACTATTATTCATATATTTGAAGTTTCACCCGTCTATGGTCTTTAACTTTTAAATGTGCAAGTCTTTTGAAGAAATCTATATTGCATTTTGCACTTAGTCTCTTAAATCATGACATAGAAGTTCACTGTTCAAAAAAAGCATTGAAAATTATTATAAATAGCTGAAGACCTAGATTCTGAAACACAATTATATTTATTATAAAATCTTGAAGTTTAATAATTATTGTCAGTATGTGCTTTCATAAAGACATATATATAAATTATTTTCTTTTAAAATGTTCCTAAACATTTTTAAACGTGTATAATACAGCATATGTACAGAAAAATAGATTTAAATGTACAGCATAATGGATAATTATGCAGTGAACATTTATATAATGATCAAATGAGTTTGGGAATAAACATTGACAATATCCCCAAAGCCCCACCCCTACATGTCCATTTCCTATTCTTTTGAGAATTTCTTCTTCATTTAATACCATATTGGCTAATTCTATTCCCATTATTGTGTATTGCTCTAGTTTGTTTATTTTATTGCTTTATGATATTCATTTGTTTGAAATTTTACCACAAGATTATTTACAACAGTATTATTCTACTGTTGATGGATATTTGGGTTATTTTAAGTTTGTTGCTATTACAAGTCAATGATGATATAAATATTCTTGTATATTCTTCTGGCACTCATATAATCACATGTCTCTAGGGTATTTAGCCAGGAGTAGAATTTCTGAGCTGTGAGGTATGTGCATGTTTAAATTTAATAGATGACGTTGCCAGCTTTTTCAAAATAGTTGTACCAATTTATACACCCACCAACAGTGAATAAGAATTTCTGTTACTCCATATTTTTGGAAATACTTGGTATTTTCAGAGTGTTTAAGTTTTTCCAATCTGGGGATATGTGCAGTAGTTGGTATTTCATTTTAGCATCAACTTACCGGTTTCCAGAAAGTTGATAAGTTAGACATTTTGTTGTGCATTGGTTGATCAGTTGGATTTTCTACTTTGTGTTATGCCTGCCCATGATTTTTCCTCCATTTTCTGATTTAATTTTATTTTTCTTATTTATTTGCAGAAGTTCTCTATTCAGTACATAAATCCCTTATCAGGTACGTATGTTGAAAATGTGATTTCCTATTTTGTGGCTTTTTTCATTCTTGTTTTGATGTCTTTTGAAAAATATTAGTTCTTAATTTTAATGTATCTGAACTCTTTCAATGAGACCAGCATACGCTAAATAACAAAACTTGACAAGAATGTTACAAGAAACAAAATTATGAACGAATTTCTTTCACGAACAGAAGCAAAAATTCTAAACAAAATATTAGCATATAAAATTATGTGATATATTTTTAAAAATCTATACATATGCATATTTGTGTGTGTGTATACACACATATATACACATATATACATTTATCAGGCTATTCTCCAGAGAAACAATGATAGTTTCACATTTTTAAAATATCAATTAATGTTCACCACATTAACAAAGAAAAGGAGAAAAATCATATAATCATCTTGATGCATAAAAAATAATTCAACACTCATTGAGGATAAAACTCCTAGCAAACACAAAATAGAAGGGAACTTATTTAATTTCATAATGGAAATCTACAAAGTAACATAACAAACATCATAATTAGTAGTAAAGTATTGAACAATTTTCTCTTGAAATCAGAAATAGAATGCCTGCTATGATTTCTAATCAAAAATATAATGGAGCTCCTTGCCAATACAATAAAGACTATAAAATAAGTAAAATAAAGGAAAAAAAAGAAGGAAATACAATTGTTATTATTCATGAATAAAATGTTGGTATACAAATGAAATTTAAAAATATCTAAAGACTAATTATCAAAATTAATATATAAGTACAAGGTCAATACACAAAATCAATTATGTTTCCACATATCAGCAACAAATGGAAAATAAAATTTTAAAAAATGAAATCATTACAATAGTATTGCAAAACACCAAATATCAAGAAAAAAAATCTAAGTTATCTAGATTCTAAACTGAAAACTATAAAACATTATGGTGTAGTGGTATAGTGTCCCCCCAAAATTCATGTCCACCAGGAAGCCAAGAATGTGTCCTTATTTGGAAATAGGATCTTTGAAGATGTACTTAAAGAACTCAATATGAAATCATTCCGGATTTAGGCTAAACCCTAAATCCGATGACTTGTGTCTTTATAAGAGGAAGATTTGAACACTCAGCTGCCACAAGCTAAAGATTGCCAGGAGCCACCAGAAACTAGCAGAAGCAAGAAAGGATGCCCCCTAGAGCCATTGGAGGGAACATCTTGATTTCAAACTTCTGGTTTCCAGAACTGTGAGAGAAAAAATTTCACCAAGTTTGTGGTAATTCATTATGACAGCTTTAGGAAACAAATACAAGTGGTATAACACATTCATAGATTGGAAGGTTTAAAGCTGTCAGAATGCCAATTCTTCCCAAACTTACCTATAGAGTCACCACAGTCTTTATCAAAATCTTTGTAAGTTGTATTTATGGACAAGGGCAAGGTGGACAGACTGATTGAAAAATTTATATGTAAAGGACCAAGACTAGCCAATATAAACTTGTAGAAGAAGAAATGCAAGATTGGAGGGCTTATTCTATCCAAACTGATTATAGAGCACTGTGGCACTGTTACACAGATAGACAAAATAGACTAAATGGCACAAAATAGAGAGTCCAGAGTAGATCTACACATAAATAGTCACCTGATGATGACAAAGGGGACATTACAGTGCAAAGGGGAAAACAATGGCCTAGGTTAAGAGAATTTGCCTATGGGGATAAAAGCGTTCTTGATCTCTGTCTCACATCTATAATTGGAAGTCTTAATTGAGTTAATAAGGCAAGAAAACTAATAAAATGTGTATAGATTGGACAGGAAAATATAAAACTTTTTCCATATTACATAATTATCTATATTTAAAAAGCATAAGGAATCTATAAAGAAGCTAATAAAATTAATAAGGGAGTTCAGCAAGATCACAGGATACAAGTTCAATGCATAAAAATCAATTGAGTTCTACAGACTACAAAATTGAACTTTTAAAAATAATGCCACTTACAATAGTATAAAAGTAAAATAATTTGGAATAAATTTAACAAAGATGTGAAATACTTGTACACTGAAAAACTACAAAATATTGCTGAGAGAAATTGAAGAACTAAATAAGTGGATAGGTACCATATTCATGCACTAGAAGACTCAATATTGTTAGATGTCAATTCTCTCCTATATATGCAACACAATCTCAGACAAAGTTGGAGGACTTATGCCTGATAATCAAGACTTACTTAAGTATTATTGGAATAGCATAGTATTGGCTTTAAGGATAGGCATATAGATCAATGGAACAGAATAGAGAGGCCAGTAATGGACTCACAAATACATGATCAATTGATTTCCTACAAAAAATGCCTGGATAATTTAATGTGGGCAGTGATAGCTTTTTAAAAATGAATCTTCATTGAAATATCAAAATAGTTATGCTAAGTGAAAGAAACCAAACACATAAGACAACATACTAATTGATTTGATTTATATAAAATTCGAGAGAAGAAATTATAGTTATAATTATAGTTATAAAATTACAGTTATAAAAATCAGGTTGCTAGAATCTGGGGGTGGATTTACTGCAAAGGTGAACAAAAAAATTTGAGGGGGGTGGGCTAGAGGAACCTGCATCTTGATTGTGATAGTTGTTAACTATGTCCACTTGTCAACACATAGATTTGTATATTTAAAATTGGTGAATTTTAATTTTACCTCAAGAAAGCAGATGAAAAATATTTCTTTTAAAACTTGTAAAAGCACTTGAAGCTCTATCTCCAGTGGGGAGAAGGAGGAAGGCAACACACGTAACCTAAACATTTGTACCCCCATAATATGCTAAAATTAAAAAAAAAGAACTGCTAAAAAAAAAAAAAAACTGTGAAAGCATGAGTTCCCTGTATGGGAATAGAAAATGGCATAATCAAACTACATATTCAGGCTACTTAAGGAGTCCCTGGTAAGACAGTATCAGAATTGACAAGTTTCTGGATCTGTAACTCAGTGCTATTTTCACTGTATCACATTTATCTTGCCCCTTTAAAATGACTTTAAAATTAATTTTGGTTATTTCAGACAAATAGTATATACATAAAACTAATTGGAGGAGAAGATAATTTGATGCATTTATTACTTCGTTATAGATGGCCAAGGATGAAGATTACGGTCTATTTTAAATAAACCACATTCCATGCTACTGGTAACAGGTGAAGAAATCTTCAAATTTTATACTGTGTTTGAATTCAGGGACAAAGAAAGGGGTGCTGCGAGCTGGTGCTATTACTGGATCTGACAGTATGGGAATGAGCCTCAGTCTATGTTGCATATCAGTACAAATCCGATGGAAAGATTTTTAACAAGTCAGCCCTTGTTGCAACACTTCAATCTCTTTTTCTTTTTTACTAGAGTTCATACTCATTGTCAGTATTGCTATTTGCAGCATAAAACAATCTAACATACGTAGCATTGCATATTTAGAATTTCAGAGGACCAGGAACTGTGTGTCTATAGTTTGAGTAGATTATCACCAGGTAACACTTTTACACATATGATAGAGCAAGATGTGCCATAAATTACCACCAGTGTCATAGATTGAGACTCAAATTTTCATAAATAAGTTTGTTATTGGAAAAATACAATTATATAACTTGTGCAATTTGTTCCTTTGATGCCAGAAATAATATATTATTTGAACATGTAAGTTTATGCTCAAAAGCAAGCATTTGATTTAATTTTTATGTCATTTAAGTGAGCCTCCATTATATGCAAGATGTTGTAGACAATACGAAGATGAATAACGCTTATTGTTTTGCCCCTAAGGGAGATAAAACTGCACATAAATGCTAAATTAGAAAATATTATAATTACAGTTGCACAAATAAAGTGCTATAAAATATTCAGAAGATAATGTTAATTCTTGCTGGTAGCATCAAGAAAAGTTTTACTGGGGAAATGTAAAATCTCTGGATTTTCTTTATCTTGGTGTTACATTGTTTATCTCTTCCAGTTAGAAGCCCTCTGTTTCTTCTCTTGAATGAGATGATGAAGGTTCAGCAGTTATCTCAGTGCCTGACACAATATAGATACTTAAAAAATATCCATCTCTTCTCTGACCAGTACAACCAAAGTTGGTTCTGGCTGTACTAGGGAGACTTTCAACCCATGAAAACTTCCATAATGAAATCAAAGTCCATCTATTCTTGAAGCCAATTTAATACCATTCTTCTTTACCTGGTACATCCCTTCCTCTTCATGCTCCTCTCATTCTCTGTACACACCTGTGTATAACAAGAATCCCCATGCTCCATTATTGGAAGCCTACATGTACCAAACCAATTCTAAATATTTTACATACATTATCTAAGGATTTATTAAGTGCCATAAAATTAAATTCTCTCATACACATTCATCAAGAATGTGCTTCTATTAGTGAGAACAACATGGCACACAATAGAGGTAAAAAATTTAGACCCTAGAATCAGACTACCTGGGTTCAAATCTCAGCTCAAATGCATGCTAATTGTGTGTCTATGAGCAAGTTGACTTACTTTTGTTGTGCCTCAATTTTCTCATTTGTGAGATGAATATAAGAGCATTGTTGTGGAATGTGGTAGATTGTATTTTCCTGACACAGCTAGAAAAGCATCTCCCATCCCTCATGCTCTTCTTACAGGGTGATTTTGTCACTCCCTCTCCAAGAGTTGGAATCATATTCTTTCCCCTTGACCCTGGGAAGAACTCTGTGACTGTCTCATCAATAAAGTATGACAGAAGTGGGGCTATGTGACTTCCAAGGCTAGGTCATAAAAGACTGTACAGCTTCTGCCTGGCTTTCTTTTGGGTTGCTCACTCTTGGAACCAGCCACCATGAGGAAGCCTAGACATGTGGGTCAGCAGACAGCTCTCAGTGAAATCCCAGCCAATGGTCACTATCAAGTGCCAGACAGGTAAGCGAGGAAGCTTTTGAGATGTCTTCAATCCAGGCACAGTCTACTCCTACTGCACGAGAGGCCCTGAGTAAGAACTGCCTAGCTGAGCCAAGTCAATCTCCAAACCATGAGAGATAATGATAAAATAATTATTGTTACTCTAAGCTGCTAAATTTTGGAATAATTTATTATGAAGTAATAGATAATTAGTATAGATCAGCTGGGATTTTTGGATAGAAGTGGCCTCTTTATGTAGGGTGGGCTTCCTCACAGCATGGTGGCTGGATTTCAAGAATGCCAGGTGAAACCTGTATCATCTTTTATGATAGGGTCGTGGAAGTTGCATTGTGTCACTTCCACAGTAATCAAGATTCACTCAGATTTAAGAGAAGAGAACAAAGATTGCACCTCTCAATGGTATGAAGATGGATGTAAACATCACATGTAAGAACAATATGTGGGATGAGAAATTTTGTTGTAGCCATCTTGAAAAATACAGCCTCCATATGAAACATGTTAATACATAAATTGATCTAGGGTGGTTTTTAGAATAATGCCTGGCACAACTTAATAAATGTTAGTTATTACTATTATTGTTCCAAAGTATAATCTAAGATTAATGATATAAAAGGAGAAGCAATTAATTACCTATACTTAATAGGTAAATAAGCCAGTGATTAAAGGAAGAATAAATGTGGGCTGTCCCAGACTTCTCAGGATATATATAGTCTCCCTATGTTTGACCCTGTCTCATGTGCTGATCCACTTTCCACCTCCATGGGAGTACCATTGTTATGAAGTTCATTGTTACAAAGTTCAGGTGTTTCCAACTTTTCCCCTGCATTTACATTTGTAAAATGATACAGTTTTGTTTTTTATTGTATTTTCCCCAAAATATTATGTTGTAATGTACTCATTTGCAATTTGCATTTTTTGTTTTGATTTTTTTGTCCTTTTGGTTTTACCTAACCATGACTTAAGAGATTTGTCATGCTAATATGAAAAATATATACTTCATTCCATAGTTCCCATCCTTGCAGTGATGGTCATTTGACCTGATTCCAGTTTTTATTCTATAAACAAATCTAGGGCTTGCACATTTCAAGTTTTAACAGAGCCTGCCAAGTTGCCCACCAAAATGACTGTGCCCATTTGCACTCCCAAATGCTATCAAAGAGCACATATTGGTATACACCTCTGTTGACAGTTGATGTTATTAACATATGGGCTCTCTGTGAGGTTAAAAAATGGTAAATCATTTTGTTTTAATTTCCATTTTTCTGGCTGTTAGTAAAGTAAGACATATTTTATGTTTATTAGTCAATTTTAACTTTATTTAAATTAAATTTTAACCTTATTTAACCTTACCTTGCCCATGTTTCTGCTGTGTTGTTTGCCTTTAGTTTATTGATTTTGCAGGGTATATACATATAAAATACATAATATTCTCACATTTTACAGAATAATAATTGATTATCTGTATATATATTGCAAATATTAGCTCCCAAGGTAATGATTATTTTTTTACTTTACTTTCAAATTCAATTTGGACAAATATATCAATATTTTTCTTTATGGCATTTGCCTTTTATGTTTTGCTAATTAAGGACTTCCTTACCTCCAAAACCACAAATACACTCCATCATATTCAGTTATCAATACTTATTTTTATTCAGATTTTCAATCCACTAAAATTTATTTGAGTTAATGATTGAAGTAGGACTGTACTTTTGTACCCTTTCATTTTCCCAAAACATTGATTGATTCGTCAATTGATTCGTTTCATCATCTTTTCCCATGGGTTTGAAATGCTGGCCTTTGTCATGCATTAAATTACTATGCATACCTGAATCATTTATTTTTTTTTTATTTTCCAGATTTCCAGAGTGGAAAGTTCAGAACTTCACACAGGTAGATAGCTTAATTCATTTTATCTTGTACTATGCTGCTTTGTAACTATTTTAATTACATCTCTATACTTTGTTTTAATGTCTAGTTGAGTGTATCACTCAGTCACTTTCTTTCGAGATTTTACTGGTTATTTCTAAGCATTTGCTCCTCATGTGAATTTAAAAATTATGTTATAAAGTTCCATGAAATATCTTGTGAGGATTTTTATTGATATTTCATTTAATATATAGACTAATTTGAGTTATCATATTATAATACTGAGCTTTCCTATCTATAAGTATAGTTTATTTTCCACCTACTAAGTTTTTTAGGTCCTTCAATAAAGTTGTATAGAATATGTCATAACTTGTCACATATTATTTTACGACTTGAAAAAGTTTTATTGTTCCTATAAATGAGGTCTTTCAAAAACACTTACCTAATCTGTTTGTGTGTATGTAAACTATTAATTTTTGCATGCTGATTTTCTATCTGGCCAACTTGCTAAGCTCCTCTATGTTTACATAGTTCTAGATTAGTGTCTTCATCTGTTTCTTTTCAATCTACATACTTATATTTTATTTTTATTCTAATCTATATACAACTTATTTATTGCCTTGGATCAGGGGTCCTCAAACTTTTTAAACAGGGGGCCAATTCTCTGTCCCTCAGACAGCCTCAGAGGGTCAGATTATAGTTTAAAAACAACTATGAACAAATTCCTATGCACACTGCACATATCTTATTTTGAAGTAAAAAAACAAATAGGCCAAAACAACCGTATGTGGCCCGTGGGCTGTAGTTTGAGGATATTTCCACCTATAGAGGATTAAATTGAGGTTTTATTTATTCTTATTCATTCAAATTTTCTGCAATGAACAATTATTACTCTTACAGTTAGAAGAAGAATCAATAAGTATTATTTTTAAAGAAATACTATCTAGTGGCTTTTCATTTTTTAAGTATCTTTGATTTTTTAAAAAGGTATATTGAAGAAGATAATTAAATTTTAACTTAAAAAATTGATTCACTGTTTTCTACTACTTTATCTAAATAATCATTGTGATATTTTATTTTTTATCAATTAATGATTTTAGAAAAATATTAAACCTTAGTATTTGTTCTAAGGCCTATTTAAAGCCACCTTGCAAAGTTTTATGTTCACCACATTTACTTTTGTTTTTGAACACTATTGGCTTTGAACTCCATCTGGATTCTGAAGATGGTCATAATACTGCTCCTTCCTGAGATTTAACTAGTCAAGCTAACTTTTCTGGAAACTTATCAGCAGCATTGAATAACCATTATATTTGCTTGAAGTTTGGTCTTATTTATTTGCCTTTGCATTACTCTACCTAATTGTTCCCTTGTGTGTTTCAGTTCAACCATTAAGTTCAGTGATTTACTTTAGCAAATTGTTTATGGAGAGTTATCAATTTCTTTCCCCAAATTTCCATATTTACTCTGGTTTATTTTCTTGTCATTGTGCATGAATGTGGGTGGGTGTGTGACTGTCTGTATATGATATACATAAATGTATGTATACACATAGATTTAACTTGTAAACACACATACATTATTGTATATCAGTAATATATCAAATGAGCTTTCATGACTTCTCAGAGAACATCTGGAATCATTTCCTGTAAAAATGTCTCCAAATATGTTGTGATATGTGTTTTTAAGTGGAGAATCAATATTTCACCTTTAATTAAAAAGAATATTCTGGAAATATTACAATAACACAATAATGCCTGTGGATATTTCAGTAGGTATAAGCTATTGCTGATAAGTCATGCCTCTTTGATTAATTAATATTATTCCATAGCATAAGGTCATCTGATGATGTTTCTGTAAGAATAGGGTCCATGGATATATTTTACTTGTAGTGAGTATTGTATCTGTTGCACCATTAGGGACATTGATAAGGGGAAAGGAAATAAATGTGACTAGATCATTAACCCATAAGAATTCTCTGTCCTTCTCTTTTTGTGTCTTACCTGTATCAAACTTAGTTTGTAAATCTGTGTAGTGGTGGGATATTTGCTTTCCCTAAAGTAGTTGGGTCAGCAAAGTCTGCCCCAATAAAATAATTATTTCCTATTGGTAATTATGACTGTGATTTCAAGAGCTGCCTTCTGATAGAATTGCTACTTTGGTTTATAGAGCCTAGACCAGAAGAAATGACATCTTTCCAGGTACTACCCTTAAAAATCAAAATATGCAAAATCACCAGAAGTGAAGAATTATAATGTTCCTAACAAAGAAAAGATAAAAGTTTTGAGGTGATAGATATCCCAATTACCTTTAGTCAATCATTACACATTGTATACATGTATTAAAATATCACAGGTAGGTCAAAAATATATGTAACTATGGTATATCAATAAACAAAAAAATCTATTGAATAGCAATTAACAAAAAGAATATTTAAAATATCTATGAAATCGCTAATAAACTAAGACTATTAATAAATGTAGGTAGAAATTAAGAGTCATTGCAGTTTGTTTTTCTTGAATAAAAACTATTTAATTTTGATATAATAAATACTACGATTAATCTCTTTTTTAAAAAAAAACTAATTCAGTTAACTAATTCATCACACAGCAATCATTACCCAAGTGGATTATTGCCATTGGAGAAAAATGTACTTCAAATATTTGAGGACCATTTTCATCACAATTTCATATTCCTAATGATCATTAATAGAAGCACATTTATATGGCTTTTTAAAAAAAATTAATTCTCTAAAGTAGGAAAAATTTTTATTGATAAAAACATTCTCCAGACTTGAATTTTTTTTTCAGTCTCTTTCAGCATAGAGAAATTAATAAAGTTGCCTTAATGAAGTGAGTTGGATATTGTCATTATTGATGCAACCCATCAAGAAGGTAAACAACCTAGGTTGTTCCAGGTTAAATAGAAGATTGTAAGTACAATTTTCAACAGAGTTTATATGCTATTTTTACATACAGAATTGTAGGCATTGATTTTTATTTGCATGATTAACATACAAATTAAGAACTAAAAATGACGTGTGTATGACTTCCTTTTCAAATATTAAAAGAGTAGTATCCCTTTCTGAACTCTTCTAGTCTAGATTCAAATTGGCCATAATGCACACATAGACCCCCTCCAATAGTGAACCACCCGGTAGGACCTAATGACTCTTCCAGGTTAAAGGGGATTGAAAAATCTCTCTTTTGTTTAACTCTTCTCTGATTTCCTCTCTTCTCTTTTTCCTCATGCTTATGCTCTGTTGTCTCTTCTCAGACTCTCTTCAGCATCTGTATTTAGCCTATACCTTGCCCTGTAGTACCGCTGGCATTGCTGAGGAGATGAAGTCAGAATGTCGCTTCTGACATCATGCCTGTTCCTGAAGTTGACCAAAATATAGTGATAGTAACAGAAGACCTGAATTGTTACATGGATCACATATGAGACACGTATATTAGTTCTTTCCCCATTATACCTTTATTTATTTATTTATTTATTTATATTTCAAAATATTAAGGGGCATAAGGTTTTTATTACAAAGATAGCTTGTATAATGCTTAAGTTAGGGCTTTTAGAACATCACCAGTGTTCATTGTACCCAATAGTTAAGTTTTTATCCCCTACACCCTCCCTTTCTCCTCCCTTCATGGTTTCCAATGTCCTTTACATCTCTTTATACCTGTGTGCACCCTTCATTTAGCTCTTAGTTATTAGTGAGAACATATGATGTTTGTTTTTCCATTGCTGAGATACTCTTCCATATCCTCAAATCAAAGATATTCTCTTATGTTAAATTCTATACTTTCCTTTTCCTATTTAGATCATTAATATAAGTAAATTTTTTTTGTTCGTTCTTAAGGAGAAACACAACTTCATTCCCCTCAATACAAATAACCAGTTGCCCCAGAACTATTTATTGATCATCTTCACTGAATCTGTAGTACCATTTCTGTTATATATCATGCCCATCTAGAAATAATAGATTCTCCATTCTGTTACATTCGCTTATCTGTCTACTGTGGGACCATATCATACTGCCTTAATTATTATAGCTTGATAATAAATTTTGATATCTGAAGAGTAAATAGTCATAGCTTCTCTTTCAAGTCCATCTTAGTTGTTATACAGTGATTTTACATAAACTTTAAAGTTATCATTTCTACAAAAGAACATATAATGAGATTTTGATTGAAATTGCATAAAATATGTAGATTAGATTGAAGATAATTGAAATCTTTATTTTATTGAGTCTCTCAGCCTATTAACCTGTGATATCATTCTATTTATTTATCTTCTTTAATTTCTTTCAATAAGATTTTAAAATTTTCTGCAGAAATATTTTGTGTGTTTATTTATTTATTTATTTATTTATTTTGAGACAGAGTCTCACTTTGTTGTCCAGGCTAGAGTGAGTGCCGTGGCGTCAGCCTAGCTCACAGCAACCTCAAACTCCTGGGCTCAAGCGATCCTCCTGCCTCAGCCTCCCGAGTAGCTGGGACTACAGGCATGCGCCACCATGCCCGGCTAATTTTTTTTTTTATATATATATCAGTTGGCCAATTAATTTCTTTCTATTTATAGTAGAGACGGGGTCTCGCTCTTGCTCAGGCTGGTTTTGAACTCCTGACCTTGAGCAATCCGCCCGCCTCGGCCTCCCAAGAGCTAGGATTACAGGCGTGAGCCACAGTGCCCGGCCTATTTTAAATTTATTTATAGCCATTTTGTATTTTGGTAACCAAGTGACATGTTTTTAAATTTCAATGTATAATTGTTTAATTGTTGCTGATATATAGAAATATGACTAATTTTCTACATTTGTTTTTATTCCAGAAACTAGGTAAACTGGTAAACTATCTTATTAATTCTAATTTTATTTATATTTTAGATCTTCCATATAAACAATCTTATTGAAAATTACTGATAGTTTTCTTTCTTCTTTTCTAAACCTCATCCATTTTGTTTTGTGATGTTTTACTATGATTACTACTATTTTATTTATTTAGCTGTACGTTATGATTTTGAGTAGAACCTCCATTATAATATTGAATAAAGGTAGTATTAATTGGGAACTCTTTTCCATAATATTAAAAATAATGCTTTCAATATTTTGCTTTGAGTATGTTTATTGTAGGTTTTTTTGGTATGTAACCTCTATAAGGTTAAAGAAGTCCCCTTCTATTCTTAGCTAAAAAGGCTTTTTATCATGAATGAATATTGAATTTCACTAGGGCTTTTTTTGTATTTATATGAATGACCATATGATTTTTTTTCTTAATCAGTTAATAAGGTAAATTAACTAATTAATTTTCTCATTTTAAGCCAAATTAATGTTCCTGGAATATACTCAACTTAGACATAATATGTTCTTTTTTAAAAACTATATTTTTCAAATGATTTTGCTTGTAGTTTAAGACTTTTGCTGCAATGTTTGTAAGGAGATTGGCCTGTAATTTTTCTTTTTGGTTCTGTCCTTGTCATGTTTTGGTGTCAGTATTAGGCTGGCTTCATTAAATTAGTTGGGAGCTATTTCCCCCTTAAGGTATTCTGAAAGACTTCGTGTAAGATTCAATTAAATTGTAGATAGTGCTCTCCTGTGTATTTGTGATAAGATGTTTTCAGAATCTTTAGGGACCAGCGCATAGACTATGGTAGGCAAAATTCCAGAATTCCCGCCCCCCAAATATTTCCCATCCTAATCTCAGGACTGTGAACTGGAGAAATAGCACACCCATAAGAGCAAAAGGGATTTTGCAGATGTAACTAAGGTTACTAATCAGTTGACTTTGAGTTAATCAAAAGCAAGATTATCAAGGAGGCCCCAGTCTAGTCACATGAGTCCTTTCAAACTGTCCTTATACTTGAACATGAGTCTTTATAACTGAAATTATATGCATTGTATTTTTCCATGTGCACATACCCTTTTTGTAGGAGAGGTTATATGTACATACCTTTTTACCCCAGTAAACTAAGCTAGAGAAAAGACATGGACCCAGAACTAGAGAGAAGAAGTTATTCTAGTATTAAAATAAATTAGTGAAAAACTCAACAAAGTAATGTGTCAGAAGTATCTTATTCAGTTTGGCAATCTGAATGAACTAATCGTAAAGTATGCCAAATATTAAACACAGCTAAAGAATGAAGAGAAAAAAAGTCTGGCTTTATAAAATGGAAGAGAAAAGTATTGAAAAGTTGAAATTGTTTAACCTAGAAGTGATAAGTGACCTGGTCAATCATTCTCAAACTTTAGTGCACATAAGTGTACCCTCCTTAATATTCTGATTTAGTAAGTCTGGGGTGAAGACAAAGAACATAAATATTTAATAAGCACCTCAATGTTTAGGAGGTAGCTGATTCATAAACTGTTGTTTGAAAAGCATTTCCCTTTCAATATTATTATTGTCTTCTCTGTTCTTTCTCTAAAAAATAGGGAAGCTATTGAACCATGTGGCACTTCAATACTTCCTCAGTTTCTACAAGAATATTTGTCCCACAGAAATGGTCTGTTCATGTGCTTATAGTAAAAACTCTTGCAAGGGAGGATATACTTACAAGGGAAGGGCTGAAGGTTAAGGGACTTATCCATAGTGGGGACAAAATATGGTTTTGGTCGAATAGAAAAGGATCTTGGCACACAAATGGTTCTAAAACTTCACTTACAAGGCAATTTAACCATCAATAGCACCCCTCTTTCTAATGATTTCCTAGTCTGAGTAAATGAAAGCATGCACAGTACTTTGCTGACTTTGCTAATTCTGACATCAACCATAAACAACACATCTTTCTAAATCAAAGTATCAGGGGACAAAACCCTAAATTTTCAAATATATTATTAATCACATGTCAAAATTAGTTGGTTTTATCAATAATCTCACTTTGCGTTCATCAGAAAGTTAAAGGATAGCGACTGGATTAGTTATTGGTATATTGATAAATATCTATATTTATAGAGAACTAAAGATTCATGGTGCTCTGAATATCCACAAACATTTCAGAGAATGTCATTATTGTTAATTAGGATGCCACCTTGTGGCATTTGGTTTTGAAGTTAGAAGACTTGGGTTTAAGTACCTGTTCTACTTGCTTTCTGGCTCCTGAATCAGTTACTAACCATTTTTGAATTTTAGTGTCTTCCTAGTATGTATAATGATACCTGCCATGCAAGGTAATTGTAAAGATTAGTGATTCACATATTGCCTAACACATAGT